CCAACTTAGCTACGATCGGCGGCTGGGATAAGTCCTATGCATTTCACGTAAAACCTCTGCATGCATGCGTGAATGGAGGTTTTAGCAGGGTGATCCGATTAAATGGAACGTTTTTCACCTTTTTCTGGGTAATGATCATGAGCGTCGAGCGTCTGCACAGTGCGTCGGCAATCGCAGCCACTATATAGTATAATTCCACCAGTCGTTTTTGTCATGAAATTTCAAAATTTCGAATTTTTCTGTAAAAATTACATGTCATAGCTAGAAGGAAACCTTTGTCAACATCTGATTCCTCGCACCATTGCGCGTCGAATGATATGTAAAACGAGTGAGTAAAGACTGGGGAAAGGAAAGTTTTAACACAAAAGTTGATTTTGCCCCCCCAACCGAAAATCTCTGGCGACGCCTATGACCCCCCCCCCTCCCCTGCGCCGGCGAGGGCTAAGGTCCTAGGTCATCGTTTGACCTTCCAGGTCAGGTCAATGACCCAAAAATCGGAAATATCGGGACCTGTTAGAAAGTCGTTAAGTGTGGCTCCTAAGGAGTTTTCCGGGGTGCTGATCACGAATATCGTGTTAGTTTTGATCACAGATGATGTCGTTAAGCGTTTAGACCAGGTCGGGTCAGGTCAGGTCAGGTCAACCGGTAGGGGTCGTGACGGGTATTCGTAGTACGTGTCAACCGCCTCTGACAGCTTCGTACCATGCTACGAAGGCACCAAAACTACTTCGTAAATGCTCAAATGGTTGCTAAATTCGAATTCAGCTAAAAAAACTAGCCTGGAAACATGTAAAACTCGAAAAGTGAACCGAGATCACCTAAGGTCAATAACCTGACCTGACCTTCAGGTGACCTTGACACCCACCCTAATGCATGGGAGCAACATCAAGTCACATGTTTGAATGTTTGAAACCACGAAAAGCTTGCAAAGTGCAAACGCGCGGCTAATGCGAGCCGACATACGCCGAATCGCGATTCCGTCCAAACATGGTCTCGGAAAAGAGGTCACAGGTCAAAGGTCATTTGGGTCAGGGTCATGAAATTTTCAGAAATCAGGGTAGGTGACACTTGACAGGTGTAAAATTGATGAATGCGAGGGTACTGAAAGTTTCGTCGCGATCGGCCGCTTTTTACGCGAGTTATTCGCGAAAAACCTTAGGGGGGTTGCATCACCCCCCCCCCCCCCTGTGCCAGCGAGGGTTAATTATAATTAAACGGAACTGCAAACTTCGTTCGAGCCAAGAGCTCGGGCGGTAATTGCTTCGAAATGCGGTAATGAAAACAATAAATAAAGGTGGGAATGTATTTATTATAATTTCAAACTTTGAAACAATAAACGGCTAGTAGCCAAAAAAAGGCGTAACTTGAATCTGTAAGAATCTTGACTTGAATAAGGGCGGGAAAGGGAAAGCTTCATTGAAGGCAAGACTGTAGTAAAGTTTCCTTCGTACTTGAAGGGATTTCAGGCATTTACCCAAAAACCATAAACAACGCAGTTCAGGCGAAAATGCCGCAGTCAGATGTCAACGTGTGTTGAGAGGGGCTCTGGTATTAACTGGATAATTCGCCAGCTGACGCCGTATGGTGGCGCTAGTGGAGCAGCACCATATGACGTCAGCAGAAAACACCGTGAGCAGCTATGAAATGGGAACGAGCACCACGGAAATATCGAAAGGTGATGGACATGTACTGACTTTGGTCATTCAAGTACCACCAACACCATACAAAAACCATATAATATTATCAAGACTGATTCTGGAATCGATTTGTTCGGGTATTTAAAACACACAAAAAATGTTTGTTACCGAATTCTGAAACAGTATAAGGATATTCTTGTTCCTTACTTTTGCCTTGTGGAGTACTTTTACTTGCTTTCTAGTGCGCCCATCACTATCTTGAAATCTGGATTGCAACGCTGTAGGAAAACTTTATTTCATTTGTCATTTCTTCCACTTTTGAGCAGTGATAATTTATTTGGGTTTATACATTCAATAATGAAGACGGCTCCTAACTTTTTAGGGATCTGCAGTGGCTCTGAGAGTAAAATCAGATATTTTCTAGAAACTTGAGGCCACTATTTTCTTATATGCTAGATAATATACAAATATTGACATGTAAAGAATGATACGGGTGTATAATTCTGCATAAATATCAATTCAAAGTATTTAAATTTTTCAAGAACCTTTTTAATTCTTCCATAATGACTTCTTTCAATACAAGCTGGAAGCAATTTCAATCAATAAAGCAGCACAAGGCAGTACATTGAGCTACAATGATCCATAACCAATCGGCACCTGCAATTTGATTGATCTTCGAGATGTACCCTGCCTGTTTCCTGACTTTCCCTTTTCGTTGTACTGGGTGAAGTGAATATTCTGTGAATATTCTTCTGACAGTCAGTTTTTAATCCTACATTATGTTGTCAATCAGATTTAATTGGTTCAAAAACCGTCGTAGTCCGTCTCATTCGCAGTCTACATCTCCACATGCGCACCCATACATGCTCAAAATTTTCACTACGTATGTACTATGTACCCTGCAGCGTATCCTGATGAAAAATGTTTTGTTGAAATCAGAGACACTTCCCAAGGTAGGCCATAGTACATGGCCATATATTTAAGTCAAAACAGATAAACAGATAAACACAATTCCAATCATCAAGTCAACCAGCATCGACAATCTGCACATAAGTTCTAAACCTATTGTAAGACTACTTTGTATTCAAACTTTGTATTGCAGAAGGGTGGAAGCTGCATGGAATTATGCGACAATTTCAGCGTGCATCCACGCTCGAAAGAGCAGGGTTAATTGTAACAATGTCAATACCATAATAACGTAATTGTAGGTGTTGTGATTCGGTTGTCTCTTGTCTGTGCTGGCCATTGCGCGGGCGGTCCAGCGGCGGAACTCGGCTTCGCCGCCGTGGCGCGCTGGCAGTTGCTTCTTCTTCTTCTTCTGCATCCCATTGCCAACCCGCTCAGGGGGGCGGCGGCGCAGGCGGGTCGAGCGGCGGCTCGGTCCGCCCAACATCCTCGATGAAGGTGACGACCTTCGTCGCCGGGCCGCCGAGGACGTCGACCAGGCGAGGGTCGACACCCCAGCGGCGGCGGCGGGCCGCCTCATAGGCCGGACAATCGGTCAGTAGGTGCGCCGCGCGGTCGGGCTCCCCGCACGCGGGGCATTCGTCGTCGGCTTCCGGGCCAATCTTGTGGAGCGTGTCACGGGTCAGCGGTGATGTGCCGGTCCTCAGCTGGGACAGCGTCACCGACCCCAGCGCGCCAGGGAGTCGTGGCCAGGCGTGGGGTCCGGGTGCGGGTGGGCAGCGGTTGCCCTCTGTCGCGACAGCTCCCGGACATGGCGCGTGACGGCGGCCCGCGCACTCGACAGGTCGATCGGTGCGCTGTCTTGGTCGCCCGCCGTGGCCTCGCCAGCCAGGAGGTCGGCGGTTTCGTTGCCGTCCAGCCCGGCATGGCCTGGCACCCACTGGAGCACCGTCTCGGTGCCGTTCTCGGTGAGGGTGCTCAGCACTCAGCAGCCTCCACACCTCGGCGGCCAGGGCCATGGTCTGGTTAGCTGGGCCGCGGCCAAGTAGTTGGAGCCCAGACCTTGAGTCGGTGAGGAGGCGGACCGACTTGGTCGATGCCAACTCCCCGTCCTCCAGGCCGGCCACAGCCGCGAACGCCTCGCGCATGGCGGTCAGTTCTGCTCTTAGGCTGGAGCAGACCGCCCCTGCAGGAGCGCGCACGGTCTCTTCTCTGTTGAGGTGGTGGAACTGGATCAGCGCCTGCGCCGCCCTGTTCCGTCCGCCGCGAGCCGAGCCGTCCGACCAGATAGTGACGTCCGGGTGCGGGAGCTCTGCAATGGCTCGCAGGGCAGCTTCCCTGCGGACTGCAGGCGGGTCCGACCGGCGGGTGGCCACGGGCAGGTCCACCCTGAAGGTGATGCCGCTGCGGTGGCCCAGCCATGGCGGGTCGCAGCTGTAGAACGCCGAACCTGTAACACAATAGAATTGCAATTGTAACAAAGACCTGCATGGTCAGCACACATCTGTCATCTGCAGTGACTGTCATCCCAAGTTGGTATGAATTGGCACAAAGTTGGGTCATGGTAGCACTAGCAGACGTAGCACAAGCTGTTGTGATATGCCATACCGTAGGACTAGGTCGTAGGTTGTAAATTTTAGGTTTAAGGCTGTAGGTTGTAGGTCAGGTTAGGTAAGGTTTGGTTAGAAAGACCCATTCTCGTGCATCGGGCAGCTTGTGCTACATCTACCTTACCAATACCCAATTTGGATTCCCAAAATTGATGGCAAACAGGCTTTTTGTATAACAAGTGTGGTTAATTGTTCTAATCCCCGCTGCAATGTGAGGGTAACTGCTTTTCTACAATCACAAAATTTGAATTCATATAGGTAGGTGTTTACATGTTCAGAAAATGATACAAAATATGACACGATTATAGCTGCAACTGGATAATGGATACCAACCTCAACTAAAAGTTTCTGCAGCCTTATAACCTAACAAATGACTAAATTGCCAAAATAAATCCCTTAGTACAATAGCTTGACTCTAAAAAATAACAGAAATTTTGCATGCAGACCCTCTGAAATGGAGGGTTTATGAAAAGTAACAAAAATAAACATTCACCAATATCAATATGTTGTTATAAATTTCATATGTAGCATAAGCGCCAATACTGCCTTCATTTACAATGTTGCTACTGTTTTCCACTCACAAACGCTGCCCTCCGTGGACAGCAGCAGCAGCAGTGAAACGTCACCCGTGGTGTGACATCATCACCCATGACGTAATGGAAATCCAGTTGTTACCAAGGCCCGTTGAGAGGTCTGAATTTTCTTTGGCTTGATCTGATATTATTTTGATTTGTATTTGGGTAACCTGTTTATAGGTACATTGCGTTATTATCTTTGTAATTTCAAAGTATTTGCCGGTGTCATATTCTCTTCTTGTTGTTGTATGCTTCAATGCTGAATATTGCTGATGCTGGTCATTGTTAAGTGTGCACCTTGTCTTTAACCATTGCTTGAAACTCTTGAGAGCTGAGAGGCAACTTTGTTTTAACCGTTTTAACGTGAAAAATAATTTGTTCTTACAACTTTTCAGAGAAAGACGTCTTCTTTTCCTTTGCCTCAGTCTTGGACCGTGTTAAAACAAACAAACATTTGAGGCAGTAGGTCAAGGTAGCTGGCAACAGTAATGAATAAAGTGAGCAGCTCCTGCTGGCTGGAAAGCCATTTCATAGCTTTATGCATCATGGTGGGAAGTATTACTCTCTGATCTCATTATCCATTCATGATATATTTATTTTATCTGGTTGCAGTCCTTCTTGAATGAATAGAAAGACTGGGGAAACCTGAACCGGAAAGAAACATGAAATCTGGAATGGTTATAGATTTAGAAGCTCTGGGAAAGATTCACTTTTTGTATAGGTAGTTAGCTCACTGTAGTTAACATTCCTTCTAGCTGAAAAATTCTACCTAGAATGGCTTGGGGAAATTTCAATTTAATGCTAGATTTAAAATCAAGCACATAGGTGATAGGCACCTATACAAAAAGTTAAATTCCGCTTATGACAGGGAATGGTGAAAGAGGACAGGGTGATAGGGTGAAAGTGAAAGCTAAGCTTCCTAAGCTCTATTGACTGCTCTGCTTTAAAGAGTATTAATCGTATTAATGGTTTCAGAGTCTTTTTTTATTTGAAAATGCCATAGGTATGCAATTACTTCTTATGTCATTACCATTTGTGATATGGCATTTAGCAAGAAGTACGACAAATTATGTGTTAGTTTATGGGCAGATCCAGAGCGATTTGGGATACCTATGGGTTTGAGAATGAAGTATACTGTCCAGAAAGTTACTCCAATTTCCAAAGTTGTTTTTGGTCAAGGTCCAGAGTTCTTTTTTCAAGAAAAGCATGGAGGTTATGCTATTGCTGGATGCTGTGGTAGTCAGGGAGATGGTGAATGCTCCAAAAGCCCCCTTGTATCTGCTAGTGGGTCAGGTCATCAGATCTTTAATGGTTAAGAACCATGAGACAGGTTTTGGGATCACCACAAGTTCAGACTTGAGCTACTGTGGTAATTTGCTCATCCAATTTATCATAGGGTGATACTTCCTAAAAATAGGAGTTGCTTAGTGCTTACACAAAAAAAGAAACATTTCACCTAGTTTCATAGCTACTGTCAGTTCTTTTCATCACTGTTGTGACTTGTCATTATTGTATATGCCTATTGTGGATTAACTGTTTGATATTACAGGGATATTTATGTTCTCACTCATGGTTGCATGATGGGCTCTCAGAAGGTCCAGTTTGTCCTGCTTACAACATCATTCATCTTGATTACCCACTTGACCTCCTGCAATGAATATGAAGCAGAGGATGCCCACATATCTGAAGAACATGAAAAGGCAAAGTATACAAAGAAATCTAACACAAAATGGCAAAAGGAGATCAGCCTAGTGGAAAAGAGTCTGGCAAAATATGTTGAGTGCAAGCAAGAGAACTGTGGCTGTCATAGTGACGTCATCAAGTCTGATCTCGCGATTTTCGCCAAGACCAAGATCTCAAAATCGATGGTCGAGGAAGCCAAGGACCACGGTGTCCTGTACCAGATCATAGACCACAAGCTGTACCGCCAGCAGGAGTGCATGTTTGAGTTCCGCTGCCGCGGTGTGGAGCACTTCATTCTAGAGCTGATCGACACATTACCAGACACGGAGTTTGTGCTCAACACGCGCGACTGGCCGATGGTGGGCTCGTTCTTGGGACGCCGCCTGCCCGTGTTCTCCTTCAGCAAGACGCCCGACTACTGGGACATCACGTACCCGGCGTGGACCTTCTGGACGGGCGGGCCGGCCATCGGGCTCTACCCGACCGGCCTGGGACGCTGGGACAAACACCGCGTCTCTATCTCTCGAGCCGCCCAGGAGTGGCCCTGGGAGGAGAAGGAGGCGCGGGCGTTCTTCCGCGGCTCGCGCACCTCCTCAGAGCGCGACCCTCTGGTACTTCTCAGCAGGAGGCGGCCCGAGCTGGCAGACGCGCAGTACACCAAGAACCAGGCCTGGAAGTCCGACCAGGACACCCTGGGCGCTCCGCCGGCGGAGGAGGTGCCCTTAGAGGACCACTGTCGCTTCCGCTACCTGTTCAACTTCCGCGGCGTGGCCGCCAGCTTCCGTTTCAAGCACCTCTTCCTCTGCGGCAGCCTGGTGTTTCACGTGGGAGACGAGTGGAGCGAGTTCTTCTACCCGCAGTTGAAGCCGTGGGTGCACTACATACCGGTTCGGCAGGACCCTTCCCAGGAGGAGCTGGAACACTTAATTATGTTTGCTCAAGAGAATGGCGCCCTGGTGCGAGAAATTGCAGAGCGAGGTAGGCAGTTTATACTAGACAATCTGCGTATGAAGGACGTTTCTTGTTTCTGGCGAAAGCTTCTGGTGAGCTATACTAAGCTGTTAACGTACAAAGTGGAGAAGAGGCCAGGGCTGATGGAGGTGCCTTGGAGGGATTAGGGAGGAGCGTGCTGGCGTTTGTTCCAAGAAATATGTCTTCCCTCCGTGATATAACTACTGAGGCGCAGTCATACGGTGCTGGAACTTGCGAGGAGTACCTCATTCCTGAGCTGGATGCCTAATCCTGGCGTTCTATTTTTGTCTGAGTCTGGCTGGGCTCTCTTCGTGCGATCTCTGAAAGTGATAGCTAGCGCGTGGCGCTGCTTTTCCGTCCTAACCGTGTTGTGCCCTTCGAAGTGTTAATGTCATCATGTTAATGTTCGTATCCGCATCATGTAAGTTGACGCGGCTTACGAATACAGCGGGTGCGTATCGCACCGCGCTTTAAAGTCGACAGAGACTAACAACCGAAACGGAGGACGACAGTTCGCTACGTTTGGCGGCAGGCTGCTGTTGCATTTTGTCTTGCCGTCCATATCCCTAAGTGGCCTGGATGCTTGTTTGCTGGATGCTGGATGTTGGATGCTATGCTTGTCACGGTGACTATAAATAATGTTTGTCAATCTCAATGTGAAGGTCTTAGTATGTTTCAGAATTTTGGCACTTTCGGCATTTCTTGGCATGTTAGAGCCACTGCTCTTCACAGGCTGCCATCGGATTTCAACTGCACAGTCTGTGGCTGAGACAATGTTTGTCAAAGAACCGATCATTGTGTTTGCTTTGTCTCCTCGTCTCGTCTATTTCTTTTTTTTTTGTCATATTGTATTTTGTGCTACTTGTCTCATGATGCAGTGAAAATATTATCGAGATCTGAGCTTGAACAGACCAAGCCTCTGTGTTGGATCAGAATTCAGAAACATTTGTCAACAGTCGCGGTGAGAAGTTTGCAATAAATCAATTATACTGGTCATATTTTCCATGCGTGTTTTAAGCTGCAGCGTTTGCACTTTCTACTTGCAGCGAGGACATGATGTAATAATGAAGTTGTGATAAAATGCTCATATGTTTGATCATATATTTTCGGTTCGGCATAATGACTGAATCGAGACAGACCACGAGTCTCGTACATTATCAGCAGTAATTGCCATTGTTGCTACTGAGATTCTTGACGTTGGGTTTGGCATCAGTGGCGTACATACGCCGAGGAAATAGTTGCGGACAAGCGCTATCTTACGTGGGAGAACACAGCCTTTGGATCTTGACGCATTTACATATGATTGTCGCCTGTAATTACACACTGTTACTTCCATCTGTACCTAATCAAGCACAGGACTCATTATACCTATCCGCTGTCCCCAGTTTGGACTAGCATTCCCCTAGGAGTCACATCCAACACTCCCTTTAGCTTGTGTAAAGCAGCCCGCTACATGTAAATAAATAAATAATATCACTGTAAAATCACAACCCCATATCTAGGTTTTCTACACATTCAGGTGGAAATCAGTAGCATCACGTCGTACAAAACCTTCAGTGTAGGTAGCGTTCGCAGCTTCGACATGCGGCCACATGTTCAAGCACTGTCTTACCAAGGCCGTGCACAAGCAGCCCCACGAGTAAATACTGTTTGTGACTAGAATGTTGCATTAGCGCCGTTACACCCATGTGCTCTGCCCACGACATGCCCTTCTGGCAATTGGCCTGGCTAGCTCGGGAGCAGGAGATCGCCCCAGGCCGCAGCACAGTCGGCTCAGACGGGGCACCGTCCCGACCAGAGCAGGAACATAAGATGGCCCAGCGGCGGTTGACATACCGTCAGTCGGGACCCGGTGAGGGGTCGAAACTTCTTCCAGCTCCGGTACTTGAGCTAGAGACGACGTGGCTTTCACTGAAGCTAGTAACGGCGTTTCAATCACTGGCGATAGAGGCGGCGTCTTGACTACTGAACTTGAAGGTATAGGCTACCGGATAAAAAGACAACGTCGTCTTGGCCACTGGAGACAGAGCTGGCGTCTCTGCCACTGCCGTCTGAGTTGACACCCCTGCCGGAGTCCGTATCACATCCCGAGTCCGCAGCTCTAAGGTAGCGGAGAAGCGGAGACCCGTGGACCGTCACCTGGCTGCCGGGCAGCGCGCTCCCCCGCCGTGCCCCTTACAGACGACAGGCGCCAGCCGGCGGCCGGCCCACGGCCCGGCACCGTCCTCGGTAGTACACAGAGAGGCCAGTGAGCACGGCACCTCGTCCAGACTGAGGAACTGGTAGAGTAGACCGCGGGCCTGCCGGAGGAGGGGGGGGGGGGGGCGTGCGGAGTGTGAGTGAGAATACACGAGGATTATACTGTGTTTTGGGGATATAGAAAATGTCGAAGGCATGATTATTGATGATGCAGATAAGCGAGATGGGCTGAATGCATGGTAGCAACTTTCAAAAGCCAGAAACATCGATTATTTCCAAAATTATTAACGCAACCATACGCTTCTTACTAGGCAGCCGTGAAAACTGATCAGAAGTCAAGGAAACATGCCAGTGCCCAGTAGCCTTGGCCTCCCACTCGGCGCCTACCTTTCTCAGCACCACGTCTCCGTCCATATGCTGACTGAGACTGGTAAAGTGCAACAGGATGGCGTCGGCGTTCATGGCGCTGTCGGTCACATCGGCGGCGTATGCGGCGCAGATGGCGGCGCACACAAACAGGCTAAAGTGGCGCGTCTGCTGGCAGCTCCAGCACGCCTCCCAGATACGCAGCGCGGCCGGCTCGGCAAACTCCCGCTTGAAGCAGCTATAGGACAACGGGAGAGGGGGAAATACAGACATCAACCACGCTGTCAATGACCGATAGTGGGGTGTACCGACCCCCAGCACCCAGCCAATATACATCGCTTTCGCAGCGGCCGTTGTAGGCACAGGTAGCTATACTCTACTCAAAGGCCAAAGCAGTCATATTCCGTACTCATGTGTCGGTAAACCTCCATGCTAACAGTAGCGGCCTTACTCCAAACTCACAGCACCCACACTCGCCACCCGTGGGGCCATAGGCTATAGCTGCAGCCATATTCCATTTACTCACAGCAGCAGCCATCGGTGTGTGAAGAGCAGCTCTAGTCCGTCCTCCACGGTACTCAGATGTCGGTAAAACTCGGGGGTGAGCAGCCGCAGCAGCTCACGCAGGTAGCCCTGTCGACACGGGACGGGAGGGAGGCGGTAGTTCAGTCACTCAGCGGGGCAGCGGCCAGCACACAGCGCCCGCACATCCGTCACGGCGTGCCTGGGCATTTGAGCAATGCATCTGCGGTAGCCTACTACAGTCACCTCACGCATAGGATACACAAAACAGCGGCATAAATCATAGGTACACCAATACAGTTTCACCATCGTAGTGTTGTGTATAATAACTGCGTTAAGTGCATATTAATCATATCATCCGACCGCCCAGCCACGCCCACCCGACCATCAACCCCGCCTACCAATGGACCGTCAGACCCGCCCACGCGTCCGCCCCGCCCATCCGACCGTCAGCCTTGCCCACCCTAGCGTTAAATACCTTAAAGTCTGGCCCCGCCCACCCGTCTCACCAGCTGAACATCCATGACGTCATCTCGGGGACAGATGACCGCCGCCGAGCGTTTGATGAGCGCGTCCAGAGCCCAGAAGGCGTCCGCCGGCTCCCCCAGGATCACCAGCAGGGGCGCCAGCAGGTCCGACATACCCTGGGTATAGCCCAGGAACGGGTTGGCCGCTGCGAAACCCAGCAGAATTCGCCTGAGGGCCGGCGAGGGGAAGGGTTAGCTTAGCTGACTCAGACGGGGCAGTGTTCAGACTTCAGGGGGAGGGGTCAGTAATCGAAATCAGTGAACAGTGGCGTCCATCGGGAATGGTGGTTTCGCAAGGCTGCAAAGTACATAATACATTTGGTAAATATTTAAATTTCTACAATTACTGATTAACTCCAAAAAACAGTAAAAATTATATCCTAGACGAAACAGTACCAGCGAGTCAATCGTCCCGATTACATCACTTAAGCGCAGCTAGTGCTATTTGCAAGTGAGTGACAATTAGTCACAACGTATAATCTCGCACACAATAAAAGAACGCTCCCCTCCACACCCGTCCACTGCCACTGACCGCAGCGTCTGTACGTTGGGGTTGGCGCGGCCACAGAAGAAGGGGTTGCCGGGCTCGGTGCGTACCACGTCCTTATCTACAGTGACCACCAGACGCTGGAACTCTGCGCGCTCTGACAGCGACATCGCGTCCGGCAGCGCGCTCGGGGAGGAGGGGGGAGGGTTAAAGGTCACATTTAGTCCGGCAAGGCGCTGGGCGAGAGGAGGGGCAGAGGTCACACCTGGTCCGGCAGGGCGCTGCGATACGGAGACATAGGTCAGTTATGGTTAGGCAGAACGCTGGGGGAGGAACAGCGGTCACGTTTGGTACGGGGTCAATGGCATCTGTCAGACAGGGAGGGGTATAACAGACTGGGTATGGGACCCCTTGAAAGAGTAAAGGGACATTAGACAACACATCTGCTAGGTTACACATCTGCTAGGTTACACGCACAGAGCAACACATCTGCACAACACATAGCTAGGTTACAGTAGCGTATCAAGCGTAAAACAGCTTATAAGTCACTCAGTTCAGTTTTACCAAACATCTAAAGCGAAAAACATGCGGCAAGCCGAACTAAATCTCTTACCAGCGTTACATTCATTTTTAAACACATCCTAATAACAGACCTCACCCAACACCGCTCCAACATGGGTTACGTGATATATCTTGCATAGCTTGCTCTGTGCCAGATCATAAACATCATACGTCCGTGATATACTAGGCATATTGTCGAAACGAGCGCTCACCAGATGCGTTCGAACTCCTCGGCCAGCCTGTGTCTGTGTTCTTGCCGCTCAGAGTACGAGTCGGAGCAGGAGAGGACACCCAGCAGCAGCGGCCACACGGTGCTGCGTAGGGACGGCGCCAGGCCGCCGAAAAACACCACCTGAGTGGGGAGAAACGGGGGAGGTGAAGTCAAAAACCCCTACGTCGACTTTTCCCGGTAATTTACAGGAGAGCCATTTTTCGTTTAGGTGCATATGTAAATAATGGACCTGTTACTGTGCGAGTGGTAAGAGCACCGAGTCACGACCGGTAGATGGATATAAAATTCCGCTCTGCGCGACAAAATCATAATTGGCACGATAGGTATTGGTGAAAAATTGATGACGCACTTCACTGTACCTACACTGAAATACAAAAAATCAGGAATTTATTTTCCTGCTTTTGCTGCGTTGTCAGTCATGTAATTGTTGATTTGACATCCAGGGCTCAAGTCACTTTACAAGTGCCAAGACTATGCTCACAAACACACAAACAATCCATCCACCTGCTGCAACCCCCGAACAATCGCCTGGTGTTCAAGTATCAACCCACAAGTTCCCTGTCAGTAGACTTATACTTCCTCTCAGCCCTGACCCCGTATCACCCACCCTCCGGAGGATCCCGCAGCACCCAAGCCAACCCGCCAGCACCTAACTAATCTCACCATCCGCCGCTCGTATTTCACTCACCCTCCTCAGGTGGTCGGGGTCGGTCAGCCGTCCGTCGTGGTCCACCATCCGCTGCCACAGGTCCTCGGTGAGCGGATCGTGTCTGCCCTCCTCCGGGTGGTCGGTGTCGGCCTGTTCAGACGGACTGGGACGACACGAGAGATGGTCAGGGAACGGTGTACACTGGTTGGGCAGTGAGAGGACACTCGAGGAAGGCATATCACGGACACGGTTTACAGTGAGATAACCGCAGGTTGTTTGAAACAGACAGACACTACTCGTTAGAACTGTTACTCAGGCGAGGAGGTTATACCATGATCCAGTAAACCGGTCCGTTTATCGGCAATTGGGGAAGACACACCAGGATCCGTTGAACTGGTCCGCTTAACGGGTCGGGAAGACACACCAGTAAAAAGTGCAGGACGACCATGTTACGCCC